TTGAAAGGATAGTATTTTGTCAAGACACAAGAAAATTATGTGAATTTCAATAATGTTTCTCCAGGTAGTATTTCTTATGATATGGTCTGGTTTGTAGTCCTTATTCAAAGGTCTGGATAGTCTATGGAACCCAAACCCATAAATAAGCATTTTTGCTATATACTTCCCTATGCAGAGGAGCGTGATTCTCATTAATTGTGTATAATTTTTGTGTGTGTATAATTCGAAGGACAATGAAACAAATAACTACATGTTTGCTTATTGTCACTTGAACACTGAAAAAATAAACACAAAAATATTTCATTTAAAGTAACTAAAGTATATATCATATACATCACATATTATATAATATGGAAAGTGTATTTAAAGTTATATATCATATCTTTTATATATAATTATATACAAACATATATGTGTATGTATATCTGTGTATGTATGCATAAATATGTGTGTGTGCATATATTCACATGTATATAATTAAATGTACTCACACAAGTAAAAACTTACCAGTAGCCCATGGATGTATATAACTTAATTCATATGTATGTTTCATTAGATTATTAGTTTCCAACTTGTGCACTAAATTGTATTGCTAAAATATATATGTTCAAAATAATCGATTAGCATTCCATGTAGTTTCAAATGATTTATCACTTCAGGTACATGGTATACCTGCAGCTAAATAGCATTATGAAAAGTTACCTAATAGCAATTCTCTGTCAAAAGTCATTAGAAATATAGTGATAGATATGATAGATATTATTGAATTGAAACTTGGACTCTTCTCTCTATTGCCTGTGGCTGATTAGAATAATGTTCCAGATATTAGAATCTTATAAGAAGAAAATTTGGAAGAAGAAAAACAGAAACTTGATTGAGTTTTATTTGATAATAAAATTCTTAATTAATGTTCAGATTTTGTAAACAGTACATTAGAATTAGAAACCCACTGCTTCGCCAGGCTCGGTGGCTCAGCCTATAATGCCACGCTTTGGGAGACCAAGGTGAGTGGATTGCCTGAGCCCGTGAGTTCGAGACCCGCCTGGGCAACTTGCTGAGACCTCATCTCTATAATAAATCAAAAAATTAGTCGGGTGTGGTAGCACACGCCTGTAATTCCAGCTACTTGTAAGGCTGAGTGGAAGGACCGCCGGAGTCCAGCAGGTCGAGGCTGCGGTGGCCAGGAGCAGCCACTGCACTCCAGCCTGGGTGACAGAGTGAGACTTCAACTCAAAAAGAAAAAAAAAAAAGAAAAAGAAACCTACTGCTTATTAGATACAGAATATGATCATATGTTTGCCCATGTGTGAATTCACAATGAGTTGGGACGTCTTATTTATTGTTTTTTGTGGTTCACAATCCTTTAACATGCTGTAACAAACAGAATCTTGATCCATGTTGTTTCACTCTACACAAGCCAAAGGAATGACAAAGAAAACCTCAATAAGCATATTTCACTAAAAGACCAAACGTTTAGTATGTGGAATATATGTAGCATGGTTGTAGTTGAATGTATGTTATTTTTACCTTATGATTGACTTAAATTTTAGAAAATATATTTATACTTATTCTACTTACTATTAAGATTCATCTCAAAGTCTGTCAAATAAAATGATATAATGATCTTTTATAAACTGTAGAGTATAAACAATTTTTAAAAATATAGTACCTGGTTACAAAAATATTTAAATCTCATATAGATAGGGGTATAATTGTGTACACGTGAACAAAAATTCAGAAGAATTATCAGTGCATTCACAGTGAATTAACTAGGAAAATATCTTACCCTATCAGAAGCCAAAGGTTTAAGGGGAATATGAAATTGCTTCTTTTTATATTGAGAAATTACAGAAATACATATTCTGAGATGTTAACCAAAAAAGATAGTCCAAAGAAAGATATTTTTGACTAAAATATACCTGAAAAATTAACTTGAACTTTGAGAAACAAAAGACCGTCTCTTGTAGAAGAGGAGAAGAAATAGTTTACCAAGAAGCATGAAGACAACATGCACATGTGATTTAATGTATACAGGATATTTAATTCTACTATGCTTTTAGGTGAATTAAATAACATGAAATGAGGTTGACAGCAAAATAATTACATAGATTAATCTACAAAGTGTAATTTCAAATTGGCATAATAGCAGAAGAAAAGAAGCCTAAGAGAAAAAGACAGTATTGAGATAGTATTGTGATTATTAACCAGACACAGCTAGAGCATAATTGTAACCCCAAATTCTTGGTTTTACATAATGACCTTGTGATGTGCTGAAATAAGAAAATTGAACCTTCAAATATTTAAGATAATATCATAGATCTCTTGAATGGCGAAAGTCAAGACATGTTTCATTTTACGGTAGAGATAATATCTTTCACCATCTTTTGTTGACTTGAGCAATATTAAGATTTCTGACTTACATAAATAGGAATTGGTATCTGCAACTGAAAAAGTCAGAATAATAAAAGCGCCAATTCAAATAATATTTGCTTAAAATTGAGAGATCAAATAAGGTCAGAACCTTGAAGTAAATAAAAAATAATATTTAGGCTTACTGCTATAAAGAGTTCAAATTGACATGGGGACTTTATGAAGAGACTTTGAGAAAGAATGGTAAGGAGAAATACATCCCTAGCTACAGAGGCTTATGTCAGAGGAAAGAGTGCACCCACTTGCATTCACCCTTATCTTTTTCCCCTTTCCAACCAGTCAGGCTCCATTAAACAATGAATGAAAGTTATCAAAGTGTATTTACAATGTACCACACCATGCACCAGTGAATTCGACTTGGCAATTTTCTGATGAAGGAATGATATGGACAGGAATGTGCAGACACTCCTGCTGGCTGATTTATAGTGCAGTGCTGATTTTGATCTGTGAGGAGATTAGCTGTTCTGCCTAGCTGGCTAAAATGAACTGCCTCAAAGATTAAATAAGAAAAAAAGTTTTAAGAGGACTGTTTTTATCCCTTCCCTGCCATCTGAATCAGTATCTCTTGAAGGTTAAAATCCACTGAGGTATACAGTTTACTTTCAAATTGCAATCATTTACAACAAAGAACCCATAACAATGAAGTAACTCTGAGATGAATCCTAATCTGAAGGTTCAAAAGTACATAAATGCACATATTAATGCATTTCAGACTACATTTAAAAATTCAGGGAAAACAGTGAAGTAATTTGAACTCATTGAAGGTCAAGATTATTTTTAGTACATCACTGCATTTACCATTTGCACAATTGAAGCAATGCTTACTTTGAAAGTATATATTATGTGTTTGTACACAATTGAACAGATGATGTTACATACATCTGCTCATACATATATTTTCCTTCATTTTTCAGATAACATCAAATCAATTGCAGTCATGCAAGTTGGTAAAATCTCCCCTTTATATTTAATTCTACAATAGATACTTATACTTCAGATTCTATGTATAATCAAACCATCCATCACTACTCTCACTTTGTGCAAATATGATGTAATTCTCATTATATAAGGACAACAGGTATCAACAAGCTAGGACATCTCCACTTACCTGCAGATATTAGTTTCTCTCTATTTTTTTCTTTTTTTATTTTAAAGATGTAGGGTGCAAGTCAGGACAGGGTACATAAGTGGTTTAAGTACAGCTGAAGTTTAGGTCTCCCATTGGTCTTCACTTCACCAGAATTAAGATCAGGAACCCTTACTGATGTTATGTACCCTCACCCCACTCTTCCTTGGCAGTGTCCTGCTACTGCCAATCCCTTTCTTGCAGCATTATGTTAGATGTTCGGGGAAAAATACTGTCATAGATAGTTTCTTTCCACTTGTGAGCAATATCCTATTAGGGCTAGCTCTACCTTCAGTTCATCTTTTACAACTAATTATTCTTTCATTAGTATCCTTGATGTCTTATCTCTGTTGAGTTTATATCCCTCTGCATAGTAACACAATTGTTTTCCAACTTGAAATGGAAACCTTTAGTTAATTATGGTCTTATTTATTGCTTTATACCCTTTCTTCCCCACATTACTACTAAGTTTCCCCAAAAGACAGAGCAGTTCTCCTCTTTTCCCTCCAATATCCTTGCTTTCCATTCTCTCTCCATTATATTACAGTTTGTTATTCCCTCCCGTGTATTAAATAATTATACTGCATGAACATGAGTAAGAATTTAGACTCTTAGTCAGGCATGGTGACACTTGCCTGCAGTTCCAGCTACTTGGAAGGCTAAAGCAGAAGGATCACCTAAGCCCAGCATTTTGGGACTGCAGTAGCCATGAGCATGCAACTGCACTGCAGCCTGGGCAGAGTGCACTCCAACTCCAAAAAAAAAAAAAAAAGAAAGAAAGAAAAGAATTTAGATCCCAAAGATAAGTTGCCCAAGTTCAGTTTCCTGTCAACTTTCTGTTTGAACACCATTTTCAAAAATCTCTTTGCGATTTAGTTTCTTTAGTCATCACATGGCAATAATAACACACTTTATCTCATAATGTCATAACAAGATTTAAAGAAACAATAATGGGTATACATGAGTATTTTTTGATGAATTATTAAATGAGCCTCTAAGATTATTTATAGTTAGGGTTTTATTTTAATTAATGTCAATAATGCTATCTTGTCTATCCTCTGTTGCTATTAGTGAATCATCATCATTGCTTTACTTTGATGACATTTAACTCTGCATGTAGTTAAAATGCATTTTATTTAATTTTAACTGATATAGGTGGGATATATGAGGGATTTGAGCAGAAAAAAAAAAACATGAGTAAAGATGGGGTGTAGGGCACATTTATGATTTAGTCTGCATTACCTTTCCCCAACTCAGCAAAATATATTTTCTGAAGGAAGATCTGAAGAGTCAGACAAAACCATAATTGAGATGTGATTACATCTCAAAAAATACTTTATTATTTTAATGACCTGACAGCATGTATTATTCATACCCCTGACAAATTTCCATTTATGGAAAGATGAGTGAGTTGCCTAAATCATGAAAAGTATATTCTTTTTACCTTCTTTAAAGAAAGGATCCCTTCTCTGGTCTCTCTGTCAGTGGAGATGGAGAATATCCCTATTCCATCACCATTTATGATGGAGTATGTCATGTCAGCATTTGAGCCGGTATCTGCATCATTTGCCTTGATTTTTCCAACAGCTGACCCCACTTGGGCGGACTCAGGAACATACAGTTGATAGTGCTCTGGAAAATATGTCATATAAAACGTATTAATACAATGCTCATAAAATACGAATCTTATAAGAAAATGACAATATTTAGACCACCTATTCAAATGAACATTATATTAATAATGCATCAAATGGATTATATTTTAAGATTTCAACATTATACTATTTAGTAAGAATATCCTAGGTTTATATAAATGTTAAAAGATATTTAAAATATTTACATAAAAACAATCTGTATATCGGAATACCTATTTTATTAGCTCTACATTCTTAAGTGATAGAAAAACTGCATTCTGAATGAGGCAAGTATTAGCGTAATCCTACATATTTCTCCTTTCATATAGCATCTGATGTTCAAATATAAAGGTGTGGTTACTTGGAATGCAACAAGAAAAATGGACATAGCCTTCCACTGAATATAGATTAGAGAAATGTACAGTCAAGACAGAGAAAGACATAAATGCATATGTCTTTCTCTCATAAATGGATTTATATGCTTATTTATCATCAATTCTCCAAAAGCTTCTAAAGGTTTTTGAGGTAGCATTATAATAAAGTCATAAATAATTTAAGGTTGTTAAAAATGCTTTAAATAAGTTATCAAAATGAAGGATGGCACAGTAATTATAATGGCTGCATACAATGAGACAGTATTTGTGAATTAGAATTGATTTTGATACTATAACAGAAATTATAAGCACTATGAATTCTATAAATCTCATTGTCTTCATGTAGAAATATCAATTTTCCAAAGTTTGTCCTGATAGTAAATGTTAATTGAGTTGAATTGAAACATTAATTAAGTTGAATGCAACTTTTCCTACAGGTACTCAGGAAAATGAATATTAAAACGCATTATTAACAGTTTTCCTAAGTGTTTTATCGACAAGTTAGAAACATGTTTATTAAAGCAATTTATTATAGAAAATTCAAAACAACATTATAAATAACAGGAATTCAGGGGCCTTGAATTCAAGTTAATTTGTTAGTCAAGCATGATGGTGAACACTTGTAGTCCTAACTACTCAGGAGGCTGAGGAAGGACGATCACATGAGCCCAAGAGTTTCAGGTTACTGTGAGGTGTGATCATACTACTGCATTCCAGTCTGAATGACAGAGCAAAACCTTATCTCAAATGCAAAAATAAAACAAATAATCTCAGATAAAAAACAAAATGGAATTTGATAAACAGAATTTCAGCCAAGATTAAATTAACCGTGGTTCATATTATACCAGGATATAGATTATGTAGACAAGTGAATTCATAACCTCTATGAAAATAGTTTTATTCAGGCAATCATTTGTCAGTTGTAGTGTGACTTAAAAAAAAATCTTATCTAGTGATATATGGAAATTTTATTTTTTACTATTATTGGGGCAAAGACCACTTATGAGTTTTATTCTTAACAAATTTCTAAGTGTACAATACAGTATCATTGCACAACATTACACAGAAGATCTCTACATTTAGTTACACAAAATGTATTTATTTATTTATTTAGTGTGTAACTAAATTTTTATACTCATCGATGAGCAATTTTCCACTCTCCCTACCCTAGTTTTTGGCAACTACCATTATATCCTTTGGTTCTATAAGTCTTACTGTTTTAGATACCTCATACCATTGAAATCTCGCAGTACTATATTTGTTCTTCAGTAACTGGGCATTTGATGCATCATACTGTCCTCATATTTATCCATGTTATTCCATATTGTAAGATTTCCTTCATTGTTAAGTGTAAGTAATATTTCATTGTATGCTTTGCTGTCTATTTATCTATCTATGGACATTTAGATTATGTCATCTTAGTAATTATGAGTAGAGCTGGCTGTAATGAATATGGGAATGGTAATATGTCTTTGACATCTCGATTTTAATTTTTTTTTTGATAAATACTGAAAAGTAGGATTGCAGACTTAAATAATAATTTTTTTTCGGAGGAGGAACCTTCATATTAGAAATTCAATTTTTGCATTTCTAACAGCAGTACACAAGTGTTCAAGTTCCTCCACGTTCTTTTGTCTTTTGCTTTGTAAAAACTAGTCATCCTAACAGGTGTGAAGTGATATCATAATGTAGTTTTGATTTGCATTTCTATTCTAATTAGTGACATTGAGCATATTTTCACCTACCTGTTGTCCATATGTATGTGTTCTTGGAAGAAATGACCACTCAGGTCCTATGCCTGGTTTTAAGTAGGTCATTGTCTTCTTTGGCTATTGAATTGTAGAGGTTTCTTATACTTTGGAAATAAACCTTGTATCAGACATATGGTTTGCAAATATTTTATCCCATTCCATAAACTGCTTTTTCAATCTGTTGATTGCTTTTTTTTGCCACATTAAAGAATTTTAGTTTTATTTAGCCCCATTTTTCCATTTTTGCTATTATTGCTTATGATTTAGGAGTATAAGCAAGAAACACACAGTATTACCAGCACTGTTTGTGAAGAGTCTATTATTTTTTTTTTAAAAGAACTGGGGTACAATTAAGTAATAGGTATACTAGTGGTCATTGTACAGGTAAGGCCTGGGTTTCCCTTTGGTCCCCACTGGAATCTGTTCTTTTCCTGTTGTGTATTTGACATCCTTGTTGAAGATGAGTTTAATGCATATGTGTACACTTATTTTCTAGGCTATTCTTTATGCCCATTCTTACCACTTCTCTTTATCATAGCACTAAGCTAAAGCAATTAGGCAAAAATTTAAAATAAAAGGCATTCAAATTGAAATGAAAGAAGAACAACTGTCCTTGTTTGTATCTAATAAAATATTATATACTAAAAACCCCGAAGACTTTGCAATAAACAGCTAACAAACAAAATTGTGAGAACCAGTAACAAATTCAAAAACATACAGGACATAAAATCACCATACAAAAATTAGTTGCTTTACTGCATACTAATAAAAATATCTGAAAAATTAGGAAAATATTCCCATTTATAAAATATCAATTTATGTTCATGGATTAGAATACTTAGCTTCTAAAAATAAAATGGTATATTTTAAAGGGTGCTTATGTGGTTACTAAAAGTAGACTTGTGTGTCCATGTGCCTGTGCATGTGATTGAATGAGTGTATGTATGTGCATGTGAACACTTATTCCACATTCAACAAACATTTTTCATCAGCATTGGAGACACTACCTGACATAAATAAACGCACGGTCAAGTATGGAATACATTATTTTTTAACTCAGTGGTCCCCATCAACATACATTTTCCTGAGTAGAACATGCTTTTCTGTAAACATGATTCCTTAACCTTAATCATGTTTTTATCAGGATGCCTGCTACTGCTAAAAGACCTAGCCTCCTTGATACAGTTATTTGACCTGGGAAGAGCATGGCAACAAACCCTTTGTAGGACACCACCTTTCTTTTTCCAGTTGATTAGTGAAAGGTAGGCAAATGATTCAAAAATTTCAGCAAAAAGTCCATTTCTCAGAAATGCTTGAACTGGAAAAAGAAACAAACTTTAGTCTCTCTTTGGTGGCAAAACCATGAAATGAAGGAAGAAATTTCTGCCAGTGGCCACATTTCCAAAATTCATGTTGAAGGAGCAATTAAGGATGTAAAATCAGCATTAGAGAAGCCATGCCATTTGGACTTTTCTTGAAAATATCAAAATGATCCTGAGAAGGTACATCTAAAATAGAACATTGTTTTATTCAAAAAAAGTATACACATACTAAAATTAGCACAAATCCTCTAAAATTGGTCAAGACAGAGAGGTTAAATGCAGTCAAGTTCATGGATGCTGTGGTCTCAGGTCCAACTAAAACAGAATTTCCGACAATTCTGTAAGCCTTTAAAAAGACTTTCAGTTAATTAAGACTGGAATGATATCACTTGCAAATCGAAGAAGTCCTAGTAAACAAAGATGATTAAATACATTACAGAATTACTATGGGGGTTGCATTATAAAGAAGGTTGTTTTTAAGAAGCAGGTATCAAAAAACTGTTCAAGAGAGTCATAAAAGACTGAAGGCCCAGAAAACTTTTAGGCTGAGTCCTAAAAGATTAAATATATTCCTGGAACCTGAAGATCATGTTCATAAGAAAAACTGATCATTCTTGACACATTTTAAGAATTCCAAGTATAGCAACTTTTTCCCACCCATCACATCCATTTTTCAAAAAATAGACTATATTCGGGTTAATATTTTATACATTTTCCATAATGTTAAGAACTTATAATTTGTTACTTGTGAATCAACTTTTAGTAGGCAGGCTTAAGGTGGCTCCCTTTTATCCCTGCCTCCTGCTGTTCATTCTCTGGAGTAATTTCTTTCCCTAGAATTCTGATAGGATATGGTGTCTAACTTTTAATGAATTAAGTACAGCAAAAGAAATGGAAAGTCTCTTTTAAGACTAGGTTACAAAAAGAGTGCAATTTTTATCTTGTGTAATCTCCCTCAATTTTTTTTCTTTATTTTTATTTTTTTAATTTTAAAGATGTGGGGTACAATTCAGGGTTATTTATACAAATGTTCATTATGCAGGTACCCTAGTTGATGTCTCTCACTCTTTCTTAGATCACTCACTCTGAGGAAAGCTAGCTGCCATGGTCTGTTGCAGCCTTGTGGAGTGGCCCACACAGCAAGTGACTGTGGTCAAAAAACATGTTAGTAAGTTGGAACAGAAACCATCCCTACCTTCACCCAGGCAAACCTTTGGATAGGACCTCATTCTCAGTTTACAAGTAAACTGAAATCTCTTAAACTTGAATGAAAGACACCCAGATAAATCATATGTAAGTTCTTGAGCCACAGAAATTGTGAGATAATAAATATCAGTTGTATTAAACTGTCAAATTGGACTCATTTGAAATACAGCAATAGATAAATTATGCATACTGCTGCAGAGTTGCCAGTGATTTGCTAAATCAAATGAGCTCTTTTTAGTTCTGATCCTCTTGGAGAACTTTTTGTAATGTTTAGGAAATTTTTAAAAAATGAACAAACAAAACATAATTCAATTCCACCTTTATTTCTAAAAATTTATCTTCCTA